GGAGGATATAGGAAATGTGAATAGCCTAGGGCAGAAGGGGAGATACCACAACTGTCTAGCGCACGTTTGGTCAAAGGATCGGCTTCACTTATCTCTTTTGACTAGTTGTTGAATGGTACTAAGAATGGCGAGACTCACTGATGATGCCGACTACGATGCCGGCGAAACGTCTGGGAATGTACCACGTCCATGGTCCTACTCTGGAAATGAGCATGCATGCAATGGACTTCGGACAAGGTGCGTTCCTCTAAGTCTTCCTAACAATATGACCGAGTTGCAAAAACAAGGTCAAACAACTTTTAGTTAATTTACTTACACTCGAGTGTGTGTGTTAGTGCAGAGATTACCAAATTGTGCGCCGTGGCGCCCCGGGTAGCCGCGACCTCTTTACAGGTGAGCCGCGAAATATTGTAAAAGTTTCATAATTAATTTAACCCAGACATTTGGCCTAACTAAAAAAAATGTGAGAAAAATCACTGCGCTTTCTCGATCGCACCACAGGACGGACGAAAGCTTAGTACCTTTTCACCGGAATAGAAGGAGATTACCTCAGAAACAGCGTCAGCATGAATTTTCTAGTTAAGCCAATCGAAAGCTGGTCAAGAGGGATTCGTCATCATCTTCTGGTAGAATCGGCCTTAGAATCTCTTCATCTAACACTTTTACTCGATATGGAAGTAAGCTCAACAATTATAAAACAAGAGATTTCTCAAAACCCAACTTTTATTCGTCTTATTTAAGCTAAATGGCTACAGTACAACGGGAATCTGCCTTTCTCTTCTGGTGGGATCGACCCTCAAATCTCCTTATAACCTTTCATGCTTAATGAAAGTCTCTAGCAAACTTAACAACCTAGACTAACGAGTTCGGACTGTTGATTTCGTAACCTTGTATAGACTCGCGTTAATTCAACCAGGGTTATTTGCGGACCAACGCAATATTGGTCATAATTTTTTCCTTGGGTCTCAAACCTTGGTGATCCGGTTTTTATGTTAAGCTTTTTTCCATTACTCTGAGTTATAACCACTTTTGTGGACAGACGCTCACTCAAGTACAAGTAAATTAACCAAAGCTTTCTATATCCATCTATGCCTAAATTTTTCTTCCAATGAGTATATATATCATGTAAGAAAAAGCCGATAGATCTTCCTGTCTTATTGTTATCCTAAGACTTCTACACGAATGAGTCCCAGCTCTGACGATGCTCATCATATGACGAACGAGAACTCAGTCTGTTTTCGCTAGAAACGTTGAAGTATGTCTTATGGACTGCATCCACGTGGACGTCGTATTAAATCGGATCTGCCGCAATACGATTCGAATCAGCCAGTCTCTTCTGGTGAGGCTGATCTACAAATTTCTTTATCTTGCACTTCCATACGAAACGAAAATTAACATTCTGAATTGGAATTATCATTATGGCTTGCATCGTAATATACTCAGCGTACGCTTTGATGCTTTAATTTTCACATTCTGCTCTACATTCATTTGGATAGATAAGGCTTATTTTTATGAAAATACTCATTTTTTATGCTTGTTTTTTTGAGTTGCACCAGAATTATTCAAAAGGCTTTAGAATATATATTTAGTGTTAACCCTGGGCAGAGCTTACATCCATTTCGAGTGAAAGTGTTGGGCGAAAATGTTCGAAGTGTGCTGTCGGAAAATAGTCACCCTTTTTGCTGCTTTTTTGACAACTTATTATATAGACAATTCTTTCATTCCATTATAAAGTCAGTACCTTATTGATTTTTACATTGGCGCACACATGCTAAGTTCTTTAAAAGAATTTTAATTTTCAATTTCTTTAAAACCAAGATTAAATTACTCTTAACATTTACATTAAACGAGTCGCTGGAACTGATTAAAATTAGAATTTTAGATAGGTAGATTTCCAAAAGCAAATCAATTATTCGGTTCAGATCTAAAAGTACTATGTTATGTTGTTGCTGAAAACACTAATTTATCCCTAGTTGGTTATGCTCTTAACTACGAAAAGATTTATAGTATTGGTTCGACCTTGTTTTCGCAACTTGGTTGGAGTGTCAGAGAGACCTTGTGGAACGTGCCTAGTCCCGTGTCCTCTGCCATAGTATTCGTGATTTCCAGAATTGCACTATTGGCTGGGTACATTCCCAAACGTTTCGCCGACATCGTAGTCGGCATCGTCAGTGAGAGTCGCTTTCGTAAGCACAGAGTTGCAACTTATCGGTGCCAAATAAAGGCAATCTCCTTGAACAGAAAATTGGTCAAGGGAATTGCCTTTACTTGTCACTGATAATTTGCAACTATGTGCTTACGAAGGTGACTCACTGACGATGTCAGCGAAACGTTTGGGAATGTACCCAGCTAATGGTGCAATACTGGAAATCATGAATATTATGGCAAACGACACAGGACTAGGTACGTTCCACAAGGTCCCCCTGGCGCTCCGATCAGGTTGCGAAAAAATTTCTAACCAGCACTATACGACCATATCTTTATGTTCGTTTAAGATCTAACTTGCCTTGCTTCTTGGATCAACGTTATAGAATATTGAAAGCCATCCGTTTATCTATTCTTCCTCTATGCAACCATTCAGGATTTTGCTAAACCAATGAATGATTTCTTTTTTTTGAGGAGTACCTTCTTAGGCGGAGAAATCGCCTGGAAAAGAATAAGCCAGTCGATTTGGAATCTTTGTTGGCCTTAATCCGCAACGCAGCTCAAGCCAAGCACTACATCGAGGTAAGACATTTAGGGAATAGCACACTCACTATTGTTACTCTTAAGTTCATGGAGTGATATTTGATTAGGCTGATTAGCCTCTGTACACAGTCCACTTCGCAATAAAGACAAAATAAATTAATTTAATTAAAATGTACTGCTAATTCCGCATATTAACAATGGAAATTTTTAGTTTAGTTATGCTCCACTACTTGTGATGGATATTTTTTACCTTACTCGCATTTAGGTAAGGAAGGCATATTGAGTTTTAAGGTTTTTGACTCGTCTGTATCCTAGCCATTTTCTCTATAGAGAATTCAATGTAATTGGAAAGCGCGAGACGGTACAACATAATTTAGTAGGATACCAGCTAAAAAGTCCTTGTTCCGTATTCTAGTCGATACTAATAAACCCTATTAGATTTACTTTGACAACCAATCTTCCAGCTTCGTGCATCTTGTCAGTTTTTCTAGGATCGCTATCTAAAAAAGCATAATCATTTTACCCACTTTATGCGGCATTAAGTTTGATGACATAATCATCCTCATACTTATAAAGATGTACAGATAATTCTTTATAGGCCTAGATCCCAGTATATGGCTATTTTTATGTATCCACTTTATTTCTTTGTTTCTTGAAAACCCGTTGCTTCCGGAAAAAACGCAGCTTCGCCTGGTACGTAGTAGTCCGTCATGTCCTGAGTTCGAGGCAACTATGCAGGAAGAGTATCGGGTTTACAGGCTTTACCAAATGAAGGTACATAATGACAGACCCGACGAACTGGAATTCGGTGAATTTCATCGGTTCTTAATAAATTCCCCTCTTATTGTGAGTATTCCATTTTATGACTCGATCTTTTATTTTACATAATTGTCAACTTTCCATATTTTTAATCTGGTTATACTTCTACTTTCATATCGTGCAAATCCATTCCCATGGTGTTTTTTTAAATGGAACTTATCTTTATTTTTGTATATTGCAGCTTAAATAGGAATTATTTATTTAACTATTTTTCCTTGATTGTGTCATATGAATTAGCTACCATAGACTTTTATTACTTTGCCTACCCATTTTTAGCGCATTTATGCCTTAATATCATTTTTACCCTGGTCTTTGCTAGTTATTCAATTGCGAATTTATCATTTAGTCTTCACTAGGTACCAGTTATATAACGGCTATGCCTTGGCAGGTTCATATTTTGTCTGAGGAATATAGTCTTAACACGAAGGCGGTACGTTTTAAGGACCTTATTTATTCAGTGAATGTTGTAACAGGCTAAAGGGCATGGATTTTGGTGTTCTTACTTAGATAATGTTTCTAAGACCGGTGCTTTATTCTTCTCTGACTATTCACCATGACGCAATTTTCTCATAACAACGATCGATTGTAGGACTGCCGATTTATGACAACATACTTAATATGCGATTTCGTTTAAGATGATGAATGACTGGTAGTAGAGTTTTCCCACAATGATATAAGTAGAACTGCCGCATTGTGGCAATGAGGCTGAATGGTTACCGTGTCAAGCTCACATGCTGCATTATCACAGTTCGACTCCCGCTGGGGGTGTTGCTAAAAGCTAGGCGAGGTTGAATCTTCAGTCCATCCTGGATGATAGCAATTTTTGGGAAAGCAAGATTGTTAAATTCGATGGAAACTTCAACTCTATGAACAAATATTTAGACTTCCCATGGGATCGCCGCTCTCACCACTTTTGGCTAATGTATACATGAACAAACTAGGAGAGCTTCAAGATGGCACCGCTACAACTGGCAGTGCTCATGCGGTACTTGGATGATTACTTCGCACTTTGGTCACATGGAAGAGAAAAACTGGAAGAATTTGTGAAGTTTGCAAACCAAATTGATGAAAAAATTCAATTCACGATGGAAACAGAGGAAGTTGAGCGGTTACCGTTCCTGGACGTTGAAGTGATTCGTTCTAATGGGACGCTCAAAAAGAAATTGTACAGG